CAATGGGTGAGAGATAGGCTGGGGGGTTGGGCGAGTCAATGGGTGAGAGATAGGCTGGGGGGTTGGGGGAGAGAAAGGGGATGAATAGTAGAGCGGTACCTGGGGAGTCAGAGGTCAGGCAGATTATAATGTGTCATAAATTCAATGTCTATATTTAGTCCATGATTTTTAGTATCCAGGAGGTTGATGAAGTGAAGTTCATAGGTTTGTCTCTGGGAAGTGTTGTGTAAATTTCCTTTGAGGATTAGAACTGAGAGATTGGGGAGATCACTTAATTAACCCTCTTCATCAAACTCCTGGATACTAAAAATCATGGATTAAATATAGACATTGGATTTATGACACATTATAACATGCCTGACATCTGACTCCCTAGGTACCCCTCTACTATTCATCCCCCTTCTCTCCCCTCCCCCCCACATTGAATCCTCAGTCTACATTTTTGCTGACTGCCCATCTTGTATGCCTGTTCTGATAAACAGATTATAGTATATCTGAAAATAAAATGTTGTTTTGACTTCCTGCTTCTGTTCTACTTGCAGGCATTTTAATATCCATTTTACAAATCTGATTTCTAAAAGAAATTTAGAAAACATGCAAATGCTTCTGTCCTGATTCAGGACATGACTCTAGGAGTCAGGAGTATTCAATTCTACACCCAATTTTTGTCAATGATCCAATGTACAAACCTGGGCAAAACTACTTATGAACTGGTTTTTAGATATGCAAACATAACTTTAAGTTCATCAGTCTATAAAATGGGTATAACTTGGTGTAACAGGTATCCACTCTGGGTCAACCTAAACATGGCCTGCACACCTGTTCCTGAGGCAACCGCCCACCTACTCACCTGCCATGCCTTGTTGTTAATTGATTAATTGGTGTTAATTAGCAGGAGGCTGCCCTTGTACTGCCCCACTGCCAGAGGGCGCTATCTGCAGCTTCTTTTCCTCCCCTACACCACAGTCCACACCTCGCCGACAGAATAGACGTTATGTCCCATCCTAGTTACAATATGGCCCCTTTTTGTCCTCTGGGCTGCCTCAGTCACGCCGCCCCCCTCTCCGGGGCTTCTCGGCAACTGCCCCCCCTCTCCGGGGCTTCCGCCCCCTCTCAGGGTGCTACTCAATACTACCACCCTCTCTCAGGGCGCACCATGCCTGCACTGGGGCTTCTCAGCTGTCCCTCTCTCTGGGGCTGGGGTCTGTGCACCCCAAGTGCTGCACCCTTACTGGCACTGGGGTCCCCACTCTGTTGTGGGTCCCCTATGAGGCCTCCTCCAACCCCTGATAGCCTCACCCAAACCACCGGTGTAACAAATAGCAACACAAGCCCAAGCCCAAGCCCAAGCCCCTAGGCTATAACACAAACAAAAGCCACCCGGCTATAATCACGCTCAAGCCTACCAGGGTTCTTCATCCCACAGCAGTGTCAAGCACCACCTCTTTAGCAGGCATCTCTTCTCTTCCATGGCAAAGAGCTCTCTCCCCAATGGCTGCTGACAGGGAACTGCTTCTGGCTACAGCCCCTAGGGTTTATAAGGAAGCCAGACCCTGCCCCTTCTGGTCAGCTGACCTTCTCTGGTTGCCCTGGCAACCCACAGCTGGGCTCCTTAATCCCTGCTAGGGCTTCCTCCCTAGCAGTTTCCCCTCTTTGGGAGCAGGGCACTTCAGTGCTCTGTGACACTTGGACATACAGAATTTAAATTTTTTAAATGAAAAATCCTGTTATTAATATAAACTAAAATAAACTTTAAAACATACTGTCAAGTAGGTTAAAAATAGAGAGTTCTCATGGAAGTGAAAAATTACTATCCCTGTCATAACACCATGCACTTTTTAGGAAGAGTCTTTAAACTGTAACCTTCAACACCACTCCAGCCCTGGGCCTAACTCACTTTTAGACTAGTTATGTACCGCCCCCCCCCCGTCCAATTACAGTATTTAGTGTTTTTATCCATTGTTTGGGACAAAGTAAATATCACCACCTATAATTCTGTTTCTTTCAGGATATCAGCACCCAGAAAATCTCATTTCTGGGCCTCAGTTTCCTATCATCAGGCTTTTCATATTCTCTAAAAGATTTTTGACAAAGGCAGTTTGTCTTGAGCCCCTCGTTGGCTTTCCTCTCCTACTGCTTCCCTCTAAAAGTGGTTTTGAGTCAATTCCTATACATATTCCACCTAAAGATCACTAGGTTGCCTTATCTGTTCAGTTCTAATTAAGGAGTCACATTGACTTAGTTATCATTAAAAATAATTTAATCAGACTCCATAAGAGAAGAGGAATATAATCTATATAAATATAGCTCAAGTTCTGAACCAATGTATTAAAACCATGAGTTCATTGAAATATTTTTCTTTCTAGGAACACTTCACAGAAGTAATAAAGAATCAGGAATTTCTTCTACTTCCTGGAAATGAAATTGCAAAGCTTTTATCTAGTGATGACATCAATGTTCCAGATGAAGAAGCTATATTCCAGGCTTTGATGATGTGGGTGAGACATGATTTGCAGAAGAGGCAACGAGACCTAGGAATGCTCCTTTCTTACATTAGACTGCCACTGCTTCCACCACAGGTACTTGGAAGTACATGATTAAAGGGTAATACATCTAAATCACTACGGCCTTAGAAACATGTTTAATTCACAATATTCAAGGTTTAAATATATATTTTTCTGAACTGGAGATTTAGTTCGGAGCTAGCGAATTGCTGAGTAACGAATATTTATTTTAGAAAGACTATTAAAGACAAATAAATATAAAAAGGAAGCATAATACCAAGGTTGTTATTTTAGCTACAAAATTGCCCATTAAAAAAATTTGAACTGTAGCTAACTTAAATTCAGGGAGAACTATTCTACTTCATAGTATTTTTCTCATCTAGTAACTTGAGAACTCTGCAAACAGTGTGTTTTATTGAACTTCAGGGCAACTTAGAAACAGGAAAACTAAAACAAGCTCAACTGTTATTGCCCTTAAATTTCATGAGTATACCAGACAATGGGGAAAATCGTTTTATCCACCTTGTTACTGACGAAATTGTGTACATCAGTGGGCACATCTACACATGCCATTAAGGCAACATGATAAAATATGACAGTTTGTGCCAGAGTCAGCTGCTCCCAGGTTCAGTCTCTACAGATGTGCCTGAGACCTCAGTAGTATGAGTCAAGGCAGAGCAGCCCTGGACTCTGCTAGTGGTGTCGGCTGTAGAAGGGCTGGCTGGGGCAAGAGGCTGCTAAAGTGCAGGGCTAGGTGGCAGGAAGCCCCCACAATTTAGCACTCTTGTCCCTCAGCCAGTCCTGTCACCTTCTACACGTGTGTTTTGGTGGAGTTAAGTACTGTACCGTAAGATAGTACTGTACCTGTGCTATCTTACGGTGGAGTTAATTTACTGTGCCCTAATGCTGTTGGCATTTGTAGATGGTGACCCTTTACTGCAAAGCTAAATTAGTCAACTGTGCAATAAAGCACATGTGGGGCGTGTCCAGATGAGTGTGGTCATGTGATATGTGGTGCTGCAAACACATTTGCAGTGCCACATACCACACAGTCCAGTGTTCTCTGCACTGCAAGGGCATCTGCCCAAGCATTCACTGCACCAAGTTTTGTTTCCATGTTTTTTTTTGACCACTGGCTATCTAGGGGTCAAAAAAAAACTGTGGGGAAAAAAGTGTAGCAATGCACGCTCAGCTGGTGTGCACTCCTAAAAAGCGGAGCCTGACTGCCTGGAGTTGCTCTCCACTGCCAGCCAGGCTCCGCTTGGCAGAATCACCACAGCTGCAGCCCCAGGAAGTTTACAGGACCCCAGGTAAGGCTGCTGAGGCTGTGCTGGCCCCAGCCTCCCCTACCCCATGGGAGGCAACTTGTCACGCACCAAAGCATGTGTGGCACAGGTGTTCCCTGGGGATAAGTAGTGGCAGCGCAGGGTTCACTGCTGCTACTTGTACCTGGGGAACCAAACGTCCATGCATATCTGAACATGTCTGTGGAGGTGCCCCCATTGTTTAGATTGAAACAGACACATCATCAACATGACAATTAGCGATGGACATACAGTTCTGAAGCGAACTGACATTCTGTGGCAGCTTGATATTTGTACTGTGAGATTTTGTTTCTGTTGAAATATGTACATATTTGTACATGAAATATATATATGGACAAATATGTCTTGCAATGCAATATGCAATGCCTTATTAAGCTGTTACTTCACATTGTCTTACTGTTGTTTATAACACAAATATTTTCTTCTCTCTGGTTTGCTCTAATCTTCCTAACTGGTCAGAATCATAGATTTTTTTTTTTCTTTTCTTCTTATCCAATGAGTTTTTAAACAGTTTGAGTGGGAACACAAATCACTCTGGTCTGGACTATTTGGAAAGTATGTGGTGACAAAAAAAGGGCAAGGTTTTATTGTTCCACATTAACTACTACTCTTGCATATATTTGATTTGAAACTTATATAAACAAACTGGGTATTAGTATAATGCATAGACATTTTTGCATTAATATAAAAGCATGTGTTAAAACCATGCTACTATTTGTGTTTAAGTCTCTCTACTGATTTCAATAAGAGTAAGACTGAGCCCACAATTTTAACTTGATCATGATGCATAAATAAAAATATAATCTTTAAAATTTTTTTTTCTAATATTTACAATATTTTATGTCAGGTAATATATTTGGACTAAGACAATGTTAAAAAGAGAGATGGGCCCCAATTGAGGGTTAGGATTTGTAATTTTGTTTCAGTTAACAAGTTGCATCTCTCCTTTTAAAACTTGGGTGCATATAGATCAATACTTGTCTTTGCTCAGTTACTAGCAGATCTAGAAAACAGTCCCATGTTTGTGGATGACCTTGAGTGTCAAAAACTTCTAATGGAAGCTATGAAGTATCATCTGCTACCAGAAAGGAGATCCATGATGCAGAGTCCCCGAACTAAACCAAGGAAGTCTACAGTGGGTTCACTTTATGCTGTGGGAGGCATGGATGCTACTAAAGGCAAGTATGGAGGTTTGTTTGGCTACCTTATGAGCATGACAGTGCATGGAGATTATATAATATTAGGAATTTATGTAACTATTTTAAGCTTTTTATTAAAGACAGTGAAAGATAAGGATGGTAAGAATTAAAAAAATCCATTTGTCACATTCTGCCTTCTAATAGGAAGACCTAAAGCAGTAGCTATAAAGAGGGGTGAGTGAGCAGGACATAAACCCTAGGCAGTGCCTAAAAGAAGGGAGCTAAAGGAGTGTCTCATTCTCCAATCCCCCTCCTGCAACCCATACCTTCCTAAAATATCTGCCAACTACAGGGAGAGCAGTGCAGCCACTGCTGTGTAGGAGTGCAAGTGAGTGAGAAGCATTCTGTGAAATGTAGTTTATGGTGCTGGGAGAGATGTCATCTGCTTTTTTTCTGCCCAAAATTGGTGTTCTTTTGGCTGCTCAACACGCATGTCAGCATCAGAAAAAAAAGAAAATTACATCTTCCTCAACAGCAACCCCCCTCGTCACTACTTCAATACCATGTGCTGCTGCTGTTGCTTTGCTGACCCCTCTGTCAGAGTGGAAGCTGCAGCAGCTGCTGCATGGGGAGGTGGGTTGGGGAAGAGAAGGTAGAGAATAGGGGAATGGCCTGGGTACAGTACTGGCCAATAATGCCTATGACCATACCTCAGTAGGGAATTTACTTCTCAAAGTCTGGGCTTTAGATTCAGTTCACTGAGTATGCAAACATTTAGGGTTTTTAAATTTGGCTGCAAAAGTCACAAGAAAATTATGGTATTTTCTATTTGGAAAAAGACTGGAAGATTTGAGACTTCAATTCCAGCCAAAAGGTTGAAATATGGAAAGGAAAAAGTATAACTCAACAATAATAAATTTCTGCAACTGTTTGTTATAGGTTTGGTTCCCCCCAAAAATGTACATTTTCTAAATATAAACAAACTTTAATTGCTGATTAATAATAAACTATTATTAAATCTCCAATTAGATTCACTCTATGTTTTCTGATCTTGTAACAACATTTCACAGTTTTCAAGACTGAAAGAAAATTGAATTTATAGTTGGAGACTGACTGTTACAGCTGTATTCCATGGTTAATAATTTTGATTGTCATAGCTGAAGTAGTTTTCAATCACAATGCTAGGCAGATGAGCAAGAAACCCAGTTTGAAGGTTGTCCTTTTTGGATTACCATATATTGTACATTGAAATGTCATTTCATAGCGTTATGAAAGGAAACATTTTTAAACTTCCAAAAAAGTTCCAAATGCAGGTTCATGAAAACTTATATCACTTTAAAAACAGAAAAGTTAATATAGTAAGAAACATAGTAACCCAGGGGTGGACAATTATTTGGGCCAGAGGGCCAATTAGGGAGTTTGGATGAGCTGTTTCAGGCTGGGTCAGCGTCATCCCCACCTGCATCAGGTCAGCACTCCCACTCCCCACCAGCCAGCTACAGCACACCAAAACTTCTTAAGTGGCCGAGGACCCCCATGATCAGGGCACTCAGCTGAGGAATGAGATGGAGCTGTGGGCATGTAGGAAGCAGCATCTGGGAGCTGGACAGGAGGATGGGGTCAGTGCCAGGATCATAGGGCAATGACAGTGTGGGGCTGGGGCTGGGGCTAAGACAGGGAAGGGGGAAGACCCATAAAAGGGGCAGAGTACACACACTGGCAGAGGCAGCCAGAAGGAGCTGCCACTGCTGGGGCTACTGGAAAGCAGAGTCTGTCCACCATGCCACCCCAGCCCTGCAGTACCAGCCACACGTGCCACAGCCCAGGGTGTCAGCTACACTTGGGCTGGTTGGGGTGAGGGACCTGCCATGGACAGGATAAAATCCCTTTGCAGGACAGATCCAGCCTGCAAGGTGCATTTTGCCCACCCCTGGTTTAACTTCACACTTGCTGTATGCATGAGTCTGGAAATATGATTATTCTAAAATGTTATGGGGTTACTTCACAGAACTCTTGTTCCTGAGAAAATAAGAAACAAGATGGAATGTTATAAGTAGTTTCAAGTCTAGTAACTCATTAGATTTTACTGCAGTTTGCTGTATGAGATGAATATTAATAGCATTTCAATATAGTTACCCATTCTATTTTTAGGTTAAAAGACTGTTAAATAAGATAGCTTTCTACCACACTTCCTCATCATGTATGTATGACAACCAATGTTAACCATAGTAAGCAAAATGTTTAATAAGATTGATATGTACCTCCTGAAGTGCCTGGAATAGTGGTCACCCTACTATTTCTTAAATGTGAAACACAGATGTTGACACATCACTAGCATCTTAACTAAAATGCAACTTCTATGGCTGTAGCAAGAAAATGTGTTTATCATTTGCTACCAAGAACTGGAAGTTTATTTTACAAACTGGTTTTCCATTAAAAAAAAAAAAAGTTCCTGTTTATTTTCCAAATAGAGACTATAAAAAGAAAGGACTTTTCAATGGATATGTGCACTTCCCGTTAGTGACTTTTCACTTATTACCTTGGAAAAGAGCCATTTGTTTGAACTTTCACCTTTTGATATTTAGGAAGAACAGCATTTCCTCACCTCCAACTCTCCTACTGCCATTCTTTACCACACCCAGAGCTGATGCTGAATTTGTAAATTTAAGTCAACACCCAAATAATCATTGTAAAGTGCAACAACAGCACTAGAGGCAGGAGAAGGGTAGAATTAACTACCTTCATAGCAAGGATATCCTTATGTAATAGAGAGTAAGAATATTAGGAAAACATGTTAGTTCTTCTCTCAGATGATATCTTGAAGCCAAATCATTATGTGAAACAGATCAAAGAATGAACAAAACTGTTCTGGGCTGCATTACTCTAAAGAAGTAGTTCTGTTCCTTGGTTTCATACTCCAGGCATGCCTTGGAAACTGCCAGCTCTTAATTTTCACTAATTTTTTGACTCCAGAAAAATAGCAAAGCAATTCTTCTGTTGAGGAGAATTCAGAAACACTACAGCAGGTCTGATGGTTTCTAATGCTATATTTTTCTATTTTAAATCTCTGGGTTTCTCTTGCAAATCACGTTTGTACACCTAACAGTGATAACTTTGCATGGGACCCCATGGGACCCTTGGAAGGATCTCAAAGCCATGGCACCCTGAATGAGAATTACTGCTCTAAAGTGTTTATGTATCTGAATCTTACTGGAGTTGAATGGTTTCTGGGACCCTAACTCCCTTAGGCTCCCTTCTAACACATGCAATTTGTTTCAGCTGTTTTTTTAAGTTAGTATGCTGGATATTTATTTCAATCTCTTACTATAATAAGAGCTGGGAGCAAAAACTAGCCCATTTTGATTATGAAGAGCATAGGGAGTATTCAGAAGAAGGAACTGTAGACAAAAGAACAAAATGGATAGAACAATGAAAAACATAATCCAAAGGATATGGTAATTGAGGACAGGAGGAGGAAAAAGGAGAAAGGAATACTATTAAGAAGTAAGAAAGGGATGATGTTGCAAGTTAAAAGAGGGGGCAAGTCAAAATACAGAAAGAGGAAAAGATAATTTAAAATACAGCTTTCAAATTCTTGGTCATTTTAGTTTCACAGATCCCATAGCATCTTTGAATAAGATTTTCCAAACAGGCTCTGGTAGAAAGTCCTTCTTTTTAAAATGTTTCGTAAGGATTATTTTTAACAATACCCTAATTGCAAGTTTGGTGGCTATTTAGATTCACCTATAAAAATTATCAGTTTTTACAAACTCCTATTGGGGGTAGACAGGAGCCCAGTTCTAATTTTCTCCTTTGGTTGTCCTTGTGAGCCTGTGAATGAAACCTACCAATCTTGTCAAAGGTACATTAGAGCTTGTTATAGGTGTGATTAACAATTGCTCCTTGACTACTTTGGCTGTGGGCCAGTAGCTTTTCTGCTGTGCTAAATCAGCACGTAAAGAAGCAGCAACAACAGCTGCTGGGTAACAGGAGCCATTGCTTTGAAAGGTGCCAATTCTGAGTGGCAGGGAGTCAAAGTCTTACCAGTAGTAGGAAGCCTGCAGTAATAGCATTATTAAAAACTCAGTGTAAAAAGAAAAAATAAGTGAGAATATGGCTTGCATCCTGCAAGGCCATAAGAGTATAGCAGCATACTCAGTAGCATAACCACTGTGTGCTTCTTCAAAACTTAACCCCCTATAGCCTACATTTTTAAAAAGTATCAAACCCTTTTGTGAGTGGACACACACACATTTTCCAAATGGCAGAGCTCTAGTTCCAGTTTTTGTATGCTTGTAATATTTGAAGCACAAATATTAAAACACACCACAGTATGCTGATCTATCTATCTATCTATCTATCTATCTATCTATCTAAGGAAATCAAGAAAATATTTTATGGCAATAATTATGTCATTATAACTATGAATATAACAAGCCTGCAGAACTTCTAAAGGTTACAAAAGGTTTACAAGCAATTCTTATTTCCTAGTACTCAGTTTACACTTACAGATGGCCTATCTATGTGTCAATATTATGTCAATGGGACAATATATGACAATAGTATATTAATTTGATTTAATGCAATTTACTACTTAGATATAACAGCAGCAGCCCAAGTATTGCAGGCATTGGTTATAAGAATCAGTGAGCACATCTACATGAGATACTTTGAGCGCAAAAGACTAATTCTATTCCACATTAGCACGGTAGACAAAACCCAGGCTAATGCGCTAAGGCGCAGTAAATTTAGCCTACTGTGCATTAGAATCACAAAAAGACCATTTGTGCTAATATGCAGTAGCCCTGATTATGGCACATTAAGTTAGTACCTGTCATTACAGGCACTAAACTTAATGCTCCATAATTACAGTGCATTAATGAATGTGTAGATGTACCCACTGGCCATCATTTTCAATGTTTTTCAATTTAATAAAGTTTCTGTTCTTTTGGGGTGGACAATCTACTAAAAAGTATATATTAATGCACCATGCCCTCATCTATTTAGAGTTTCAAAGTGATTTTGCTTTTAACAGGAACCACAACAATTGAGAAATATGATCTTAGGACAAACAGTTGGGAACAAATTGGTAACATGAATGGTAGACGGCTACAGTTTGGAGTGGCAGTAATTGACAACAAGCTCTACATTGTGGGAGGACGAGATGGTCTGAAAACCTCTAATACAGTTGAATGTTTCAACCCAATTACTAAAGTTTGGACTATAATGCCTCCAATGTCAACACACAGACATGGCTTAGGTAAGAGTTACGGTTTCTTTGTAATGTATACCTTGTACCATATTCAAATCAATGCAAAAGTCAATTGACACATGTTTACAGTACCCAAAACTATAAGCATTGTTTATGAGGGATATTTTTGAGAGCTAACCAGTTTCCTATTGTCTTAAATGTTTTCCTCAATTGTTTCCACATCACCCAATTTGCACTAAAATTTTGCAAAAGAATATACATATTTCAAAATAAAAAATCAGTAGGAAATTCTAGAATCCCATTTGGTATTAAAGGAACCAGTTTGAAATATCTCACCTTCCTTATTCAACTCCTACATGTACCATTGACTTCAGTTAGGGCTTCAAGTGATTAGTAACTAATTATGATTAATAAAATATATATTTTTTATGGTTTAGTAGACCTAACTGGATCTACTTTAGATAGTGCATTTAATACACCCACTGCATCGCTCCTTTTAATTTATTTAAACAAATATTCTACTACTTTATCTATTGTGCCATTCTGACAAAAATTGATACAACTCTGATATAGCTTAATATGTTTGGGACTTCATTCCCCTGTAAATCGTCATATGCATTTAATAAAGAATGTATGAAATAATCAGTAAACATCTAAATGTATACTCCCATTTCAGAACAATATGAGACAGAGACAAATTTAAGTTTGGGAGGGCAGTATAATTAGGGTTTAAAACACCAGAAAATCTCTCTCTCTGGATTGCTTTGTAGCATGCTTCTTATGAAATGGACTGCTTGCTTATGTTTTGTTAAAAACAGGAACATTGTAGGAAATCTGGGATGTGTTCAAGAAGAGGTGGGTTATTTTTAATGCAATAAAAATAAAAAGCTACTGAGATCATATTATAAGCACTCCAGGTTTTTATGGCATGCATTAGTTTTATGCCAAGTGCTCTGTATTAACACCACACCTCTGGGTTCTTTCCAAGTTTGTCAAAATTATAAAAGCAAAGAGTGGTATTAAAGACCATGAGGGTTATCATTCTCATATTAGGGGTTACATTCTTATCTCAAGAAAGTCAACGGGAGCATTATTATTATCCAATGGGGCAAAATATTAAATGTTAAAATCGTGTTGTCCAAGGACAAGAGCCATTGTTGATACAAATTAGTATAAAGTGTTGGATTGCTATTTAAAGTATAATTTTAGTCAATTTGGTAATTTAATTGAGTTACAGATGCTGTTTGATTAATAAAAAAACTAGTATAAATGAATGTTTATTTTTCTTTTATATATACAATACCCAGTAGCATGTGTGAAAGTTAAGAACTTTTAAACCCATGGTATAAACTAATTAGGGAAAGGTGACAGGGTTAATTTAATATTTGCTCTCACCCTGGGATTATTGCCCAGGAAAACTTTACTTTAATTGTTTGTAGGCTGATAATTTTAGTGAAGTTAAGAAATCAGGTTAACTACAAAGGCTAGGTCTGAAATTGCAGAAGAAAAAAAAAAAGAGTTTTAAAGACACACTAAAGTTTAGAAGTCCTTTGTCCTTGATAAAAAAACAAAAAACAAATAAAAAGACAAAAAACACCAGAAGTGTTTTAAGCATAGCATGTTGGTTGTTTTGTTTTTTCAGATCCAGAAAAAGTTTGTACAATTAGCACACAGAAATAAACTCCAGCATAGTCATGCCGGAGTTTATTTCTCCCAGGCACAGCACTTACCTACTTGTGTCCCCAGGCCAGCAGCACACTGAGCTGGGGCAGAGCAGCCTTGGGCTGGCACGGGGCTTGGGGTCAGCCTGCCAGCCTGGGACTCAACTTGGCTCAATGTGCTGTGGAGGGGTTGTCTGAGGCACAAGGGTGCTACAGTGCAGGGCTAGCTGACAGGCAGCTCCTGCACTGTAGCACCTTCATGTCCCAGTCAGCTGGTCACCATCTACATGAGCATTTTGACACAGTCTGCTCCGCTGTAGGATAGCATTTGTCCTGGACAATAGTATTCTACAGCAGTTAATTAATTTACTGTGCTCCAGGATGGGTGGACGTGAAGACAGTGACACTTTAATGCAAAGCTAATTAGTCAGCTCCACAGAAAAGCGCCCATGTAGAGGTAGCTACTGATAGTTAATATGACAGGCCAAGTAGCTTAATAAATAATGCACATAGTACAAAAAGGGGTTTTGATTTGAGATCTCTATCTCGAGGTGCATGAATCACCTAATTAACTACTTTGTCAGGGTGGTAATTTGCTTTTTATGATTTTTTAATCTTTAATGTTGCGATAAACATACAGAATTTTTACCTTAGTATTGACAGTTATCTAATAGAGATTTACTGAGGGCTTTTTTTTAACTGTCAGTTCCTGCTAAGCCTTTCATATTCTAAACACTGTCAATGCTTTTATCTTCTCTAATTTCAATGAAACCTAGTAAGATTGTAATAGTGCAAATAATTAAAAGGAAGGGGGAAATAATTGGAATGACAACAACACAAATGCCACAACTTAGGTTCCTCAACCCACATCAGCTTGATTTGCCAGGCTATATTGCATTTGAAGCTCTATTAGCTTTTGTGCAATTTGTATGGAGTGAGCTCTTATGAAAAATCTTAAATTGGAATGTTATATTTAGGCCTGTAAATATGGATCTAGAAAAATAATGTTAGCAGCCAGATTGGAATTCTTTCTTCCTTTCTTTATTCTTTTTAAAATTTTTGCTTTGGTTATTATACGTAGCAAAATAAAATCCAAAAAAGAACCAAAAACAAAAAACAAACAAACAAAAACCCCTCAAAGATTTATAAGATAACTTATTCCTAAAAGGGGTAAAGCTTCTTTTGTAACTGAGTAAACATTTTCCTGTCCCATAATATGTAAGTGTAATAACATGAGCTTTTTGTAACTTGGAAGCTTATTAATGTATACATTAATAAGTATTAACAGCAGCAATATTGCATAGGTTAACAAAGACCAAAATGGACCAATCATGGAGACAGGAAGCCTAAGAGTTATAGTTGTTTTCCCTCTGAGAATCTGCTGAAAGGTAGTGTTTTTCCCAGAACTATAGAAATGTAGTATTTTCATTGAGTATTCTGTGCAGATGATTTTCATTTTGCCCAGTGACATATCAGCTTTTATACAGATATTATTAACTGAAGTTTTATTTGTGTGAGGAATTTTTAAAGGCAAATGAAAAATCATAAGTAACTTTTAAAGACATAAGTAATTTTAAAGTCATAAGTACTTATGAAAAGTCTTAAGTAATTTTTAAAGGCAAATGAAACTAGCAATGAATGCAGTGTCAGATCCTTTGGCTAGCAGGTAAGTATCAGATTAAATTTTATCTCTAATTTTTTTCCAAGGTGTAGCAATGCTTGAAGGACCAATGTATGCAGTTGGAGGCCATGATGGATGGAGTTATCTCAATACAGTAGAAAGATGGGATCCACAGGCACGGCAGTGGAATTATGTTGCTAGCATGTCAACTCCTAGAAGCACAGTAGGGGTTGCAGCATTAAATAGCAAGTAGGTAAAAACAAAAAGATAAAGTGCTCTTGTTTATGTGTTTTCTTTACTCAGACAGCAGTGTAATTTTTCATATATTATTTCCTATCCTTCATCATTTTTCCCTTTAAGAAAAGGTTTAAAAAAACCCCTTTATTTTGTTTTCTGGTATTTTCTTCTTTTAAATGTTCCTTAAATGTGTAAATTATATTTTAAAGGTGTTTTACTTATTTATAATTACAATAATTTGAGAATGATTTTACAGTTAATTTAGAAGTTAACATTTTAACACCCATTTTAGACTTTTCTTCTCTTAGCTTTTTAAAGAAAGTTTCTGTTTCCAGGTTAAAATCAACAAAAGACTGCTATTACAACATCAATAAACCCCTTCCCCTCCAAATTGACAGTAATCTCTGTCTACAAAAAAAAAAAATAACCATGAGGTCTCTCTCGCGTGCACACACACACACACACACACACACACACACACACACACACACACTGCAGCTTTGGCAAGTCCCAAATAAAAAGAAGAACAAGAAACAAAGGAAATATATTGTATACAAAGAAAGGGAAGGAAAAGTTTGATGTATCAAGTTTGAAATAACTACTATCCCTAGAGTTTCTAATCCTACCAGGGGTTTATTTTGCCCCTTTCTCATTTGACATAGACAAATTAAATTCCATGAGATGTTAGACATGGATCTTTCAAATAAAATATGGTATGTGCACTCTCCAGAGGTAGCATCTAATGAAGTGGGCTGTAGACTTGCTGAATGAGCTAGTCTCTACGGGTGCCTATACATGTGCTTCGGGGGGGAGCAGTTGTGTTTGAATTAGAGCTACTCCTGGGATCTGCTCTAACTAAAATGCTGGAAGTGTCCCATGTATTCAGTGTCCTGCATTTCAAAATTGCAGTGCTTTAACTAAAGCTTGTCAAACAAGCTTGTTTGACAAGCTTTAGTTAAAGCACCCCTGCCACCATTTTGAAATGTGGGATGCTGAATACATGAGATGCTGCAGCATGCTGGAGCATTCTGATTGGACCGCTTTAGCAGATTCGAATCAAATCTGCTCTGGCACATTCTAATCAGAATGTGTCAGGACACAAGTAAGAGTGCCCTAAGGTGCCAGCCTGCCCTGCCTTCTGCCTGACTTCAAACTAACATGGCTAATTATCTCTCAAAAGAGATACTAACATTCTCAAGAACTTTGCATGGAACTGGAATTTTTATCCAGGCATTTTGAACTAAAATTGCCATTCTTCCCACTCTTACACACTAATTTCTTTGGTATTCTATTTCATAAATGTCTGCGTTTCACTACAGAGTGAATATTACATTGGTACAGGACAGGGTCATTTTTACCTTCATTTCTCCTTCTCCCTCACATCTGAGATGGAATGGAAATGGGAAATGGCCCATCTTGTCTTAGACAGAGCTGTTGGAGTCAGCGTACCATCTTATCTAACTCTGACAATCCTCCAACCATGATTGTTTGAGGGGCATGTATGAGCTCAAATGGGGTGTGGACAGATGATCTTACCGATATCATGTTTTACAATCCTATTTCATGCTGCCTATTTCAAAGCTAATTTATGTGGATCTAAATTCAACTGAGTTATGACCCATGGATAGGTTACATCCACACACTGGAAAACAAAGCTGCTAAATGCCTTTATCCCTGCAGGTATTAAATTACTTCACACAATTTAAGTTACTGTGCTTAGACATTGAACATGTTTAATGCATATATTTACACACAAAAAATAGAGTAATGGAACTATTCAAGTTCCCATTCTCTTACAGAGGAAAGACCTTGCAAACATCCTTAATATAAACTTCACCAAAAGCTCCACAGAGTGTCTTCCAGAATGATATGCAGGAAATTGCTTTGTTGAAGAGGAAATTCATCCTAATGTAGCTAAGCCCTTGAGCACTCCTGAAATAGGCTGCCTGTTTTCACTGAGCCCTAAATTTAAATTATGTCTGTTAGTTTTGTGAGGTAATCTACTGCATGACAAGGAATAGGGTGAGATCATGTTTGCTTTGATTACTTTCATTGCAGCTTACCAAAAGTCTTCCATGTAATATTTTTTCTTTTCCAACATTTCCCTAGACCTGTATTTTTGCTAGGCACGCTACTGAAATTAGATTTTTGACCATCAGGTTTCTGATATCAGCAAAAAACATTTTGCATTTTGGTAGGAAGCAATTTTGCCCAAAGAATTACTATAAACACTACCAATGTATAATAGGATACTTGGCCTTTTCCTTGGAGAAGTAAGGCACATCTTAGACTTATTTTTAAACTATGCCTACCGTGTTTCTTAGCATATAGTCTTATATTGTGTTATAAAGGGGCTTGCAGGGGGAGGGGGGATGGATCCTAGAATCTCTCTGTATATATGTAATATATATGTGTATCTATATATTTAGATATATACACGTTTTCCAAAATAATTATAAAAAGGTGAGATTTATCCAATGCACCAATTAAAAACCAAACAAACCAAAAACCAAACCAAAGCTGTGTAAATGCCAATCAAAGTGCACCCCAGAAACAAATAATCTACCACCAACACCTATCCATTAAATGTTGAATTTCATTAAATGTTCATCTTCTGTTTCAACCATAACTAATGCCGCTTTCACTTGCCAGGGAAATAGATCTTGATCTATCTCATATATAGTAGGAACCTCATGAAAGGTTCAAGTTATCAGTATAAACAAGCCGCCAATATAAGCAAGTCAAACTGTTTCCAAAATAATATAGTAAACTTATGCAGTCTTTGGAATACAGATGCAATTTGACAGGTGTTCCTCACTGAGAAAATATACAGATGTACTCTTACCAGCTGTAGTGTCTGAGCACTCAGCAAGTAGCACTGGTACCTGTCCAATATGGAAGTGAAAAGGGCACAAATAACTGACATGTTTCACATAAAAAATGTTATGTGAGATATATTAAGCTCATATGCCACCACAACTGCCTCAAATCAGTCAAAAGTCTATAAGGGCTTGAGGACTTATGAAGAAGCTCATTTGTGGGACAAGCACCATTTCCAACATAGGTGCCTAATCAGGACTAAATTTCAGGTTACTTTGATTCAGGTCCTAACATTATGCAGGCACTGGAAAGACAGGCAGCTATTAGCATTATTCAGACTCTAGAAATGAGCATGTCACTCACACAGAATAATGATACAGTAGTATAAACTGCCTCACTGTTTGCCCAATATTATCACAACATGTTGAACAGAATGGATGACACAGCTGGTAGCTGAAATATCATCAGCCTTAGGGTCTTTCAAACCCAAGCAGAGACAAGGATGAGTCAAAAATGTTGTTCATATAATATTTGGTTCATTAAAAATCTTTTAAATATTAAAGCATAGTAAAATTGTTTAACAAATGCTATGTTTAAAATGTCAAACATCTACAAGCAAAAATGTTACTTGATGGAAACACTACTGGCAATTTACCCCTACCCCACCATTATTTCCTGTTTTGTTTTTTTAAGGATATGTTCCATGAATAGCTCACTTACAAAGAAGGATTTTTAATTTTCCTTTCTTTTTTTTTTTTACTGCTTAAACTATTTACATTACTGAAAAGGTAACCTTCCCTTCTTATGGCTTAGGATAGTAATTAAGCAAAAAGAATTATATGGCATAATTATTGGATACCAAATTTCAGTAATTTCTAGCATTTTAAAGCACTTTAAATGAGACTAACCAAATAAAATCCCTCTTAAAATAATGCAAGCAGCTGTGTATGTTAACAGTTCTGGTTTATCCTCATGTGGGTTATTATAGGTTATATGCTGTTGGTGGACGGGACGGCAGTTCCTGCTTAAAATCCATGGAATGTTTTGATCCTCACACTAACAAGTGGAGTATGTGTGCTCCAATGTCTAAGAGAAGAGGAGGTGTTGGTGTTGCAACATACAATGGATTTTTATATGCAGTAGGAGGTCACGATGCACCTGCTTCCAACCACTGTTCTCGACTTTCCGATTGTGTGGAAAGGTAAGGATGTTTTTATCCTCTATGGAAACAGAAGTATAAATTTGCTTATATTGCAAAGGAAACATCTTAACTAAAAACATTACATTTGCAAAGTGTGTTCCAAATGTTATGTAAATCTTAGAAAAATGTAGGTCTCTGATGTAGCTAGTTAGAAGTAAGGGATTTTAAAACCAGGCAAGGTAGTCTAACTTACATGTCATAAGGTCTAGAAATTGGCGTGCATTTTACAAAGATAAGTAAATAATCGAGATTGTGAAAAGGTCCAACAGTCATCTCAGTTATTTATTTATTAAGCAGAATAAAACAACATAGATTAATTTAATTGGAATTGCTTGAACGTTGAGGGTCATGTAAAAAAAAACCTTGAACAGATTCTGAAAGGCTTGGTTTGTGTATCCAAGAAGTGGGTAAACATACCAATTTGAACAATTAATAGATGTGTTTTTTTCTGGAAGGCAAATCGAGTGCCTTGTGTTATGATGAAACTCCTAATTTATTTGCATAAGATTCAACAGAGATATAGTTCATTTTTTCTAAAAAAACAAAACAAAAGAAAATAAAAAAAGTTTTAGAAATATATTAGTTAAAAAAGATCATATTTTACTTTACAGCAGTGAGAACAATTAATGTCTCAGTTCTCTGAATGCTCAAAAAACCTGAAAAATATGTTTTAGAAGTTTCAACTAAAACTTTCAATACATTTGTTTCATGTTATATGAATTAATGTGTTTTGACATAATTTGTATTTTAAGTTCCTTTTAATATTTTTCAAAAATATTTTATTCAAACTAAAATGTAATTTTAAGTGAAATAAGTAATAAGTAATATAATTTCAAAAATATCAAAATTAAACATTTCTACTTTTAGATTTGCCCTCTCTGGCAGCATGTATAATATGGTGAAAGCAAAATGAACTCAAATGAACCAAAATGAATGAAAATGTTTCACTGAAGATACATTTTTTGCCAAAGAAAAGTTTTAGCACAATATATTTTCCTGCTCCACTCAGCTTATGCTCTCCCTAATTAAGAATTTTTCAAAAATAAATGTTATTCCTATGCAGGAGCCTAACAAGTGCCTATGCACTTTTAAAGTTCCACTTAAAACCCTCAGTGCTTTATTCTTTGTAGCTATACATGAAGGACAGTAAAGATAGGATAATTGTTGGACGTATATACATTTCTTGGAAAAAAACTTTCCAAATTAGTTCTTATTAAACAAGGGTAGATTTATGTAAGAATCATTGAAAATAATTTCCATATGAAGTACTGATAAAATATGCAGACAGTGTCTCAGAAAAATGCAAACACGATTATTATTTAAGAATAATAATATTGTTTTGCTTGCTGCTGGCCCTTATCATGGTGATGTGTGGTATGATCTCAGATGATGAGAGTACATTTATTCTCTGGGGAAAGAGCGTGACATCCTGTTTGACAATGACTCATCTGGCTATTTAATAAGCACTGGTGGCAGAATGTGTAGACACTACTGCTGTAGTCTTCTGCGGTGTTGTTTTAGGAAAGGCAAGTGAAACACTGATGAACATGCAAATAGTTATGGGGCTTGTCATTGTTAAATTCTGCTTTCAGTCATCTTAATCTCCTAAATTCAGTGGAATTCATTCAGATTTAGACCAGGTTAACTTCAGGATACTGTCTTGATCTATTGTGCTGTGGCCAACAGGGAACTGAAAATGTAAAGTTTTTCCACATATTACATCTTGCAAAAGGTCACTAATAATTACACAAGATAAGTTTTACTCATGCATTGAAATGTATTTTAAATGTAGCTTTGGCATGATACAGTGCAGGCAGCTAAGTTACGAGCAAAGGGATAAAGCTATACCTTCAAATCTACAACCATTTATCTCATTAAATAAATGTTGCAATACTGTTGGTTGATACTTTGTTCATATTCGGATTGCATTACAAGAATTAAATTTATCTAACCTGAAAGAAGAATAGAAGAACTATGGCCATAAAATAGGAATATATATTTAATGTGCTTAAAGAGTCCTCTAGTGGTTAAATACCATATTTAATCATGTTATTTCTACTGCTGTCTGTATGAATGTAGACTGAATAGATGAACAATACCACACATGAAATTAACCTGAGTTATTTAGATTTTAAAATTGTTGTAATCCTGACTTGCTTCACTCTAATTATTATTTTTTCATTATTGTTATATAATATTGTAGATATGATCCTAAAACAGATGCCTGGACCACAGCAGCACCTTTAAGCGTACCAAGAGATGCTGTTGGGATATGTCCTCTCGGGGACAAGCTATATGCAGTAGGGGGCTACGATGGCCATACTTATCTGGACACAGTGGAGTCATATGATGCACAAAACAATGAATGGACAGAGGTAACTTCATGTAAATAAATTAAAAGCTGGGCATTAAATTAATTATTCACAGAGCAAAAAGAGACATTAAACATTAAAAATAGAACAATAATTCTCACTTACTTTCTCTGTAATGTATCAAGACACTGTACTATCCTGATTTTGTTAGTATAGAGTGTTGGTTATAGCAATATAACCGTATATCTTTATAATCACTAGCTAATTCTCAGATAAAACTGACATTAGGATGGTGTTAAAGTGGCATGTGTGCATGAGTAATTTAGAGGATAAAACATTAAATACTCTAATTATCCCGAAAACAGTTGTTATAAGATCACAAATTTCAGAACTATTGACATTAAAAATCAGTTTTTATCTGATCTGGGACCACAAAGGCTAATATTTATTAAGTTATGGCATGACATACTTCCAAAGCAATGACAACTTTGATAAGGGTGCTGTACCATAACTTAACCTGCTTTATTTTATTTTAAAGACAAATGGAACACATTTCAAAGACACTCATCCCTTTGTTTCTAATGGTGTCTGAGCTATTCTTATATGTAAAACCAAAAGGTTAACTCATTTACTTTTTCACTTTCAATATTAAAAATAAATGATCATTGGCCCTGGGTTCTAGACAAACTTATGGTGACCTTTGCCACATTATATGTTCCACTCAACATAAAGGATTATTACTGAGATCAATCTGATCAATATTAAACAAAACAATCCAATTTCACTGTAGACTTTGCAGAGACTGGTAAGGTGCCACATTAAATGTTTGGTTACATTGTAATTTACTGCTGAGTTTTCTTAGACAACTACATGTCTGCTACACAACATTATGAAATCCTAACTTCCTGTAGTCTAAACTTCCTGTTGTTTTGAGACCTACAACAACAATGAAAGTCAGATTAAATGTGAATAGATAAGGAGCAATGTTATCCAATAAATATCATTTGCTCCTTATATGTTAGTTACTATTGAAGTGCAACTAAAGCTGACAATGTAGTGTTCTCTGTCTCTAAATTAAGTTATAAGGGAATCCATCCAATTTTATGGATTTTTTCAGAATGATTGAAAAGCTGAAATTGTCATGGATTCTATATTGTTCTGCCTCATATGTATATTGGTCACCACTACCCTCTACTGGATGGATTTTTAAGCCTACTCAATTTTTTCACTATTGTTTTCTACAGCAGTGATCCTCAACCAGGGTGATGCAGCAAAGAACTCAGAAAGAATTGCTCTATTACTTTTCTTTAGTCAAAAAGCAAGTGAAAACTGTGAGCTGGCATGCCTTGATTCTAGAAAGCTTAAGAACTGCTGTTTTACTCCAACAGATGTTACATTAAGGCTAAGTACAGACATTCAAAAAACCCTTGGTGGAAGCACTCAATTGCACTTTACTTAAAGTGCTACAAGTTA